CTCAGTGCAGGTCACGGCACAAAGGCACCCGTAAGTTACCACGCTGTCTGGACAGTGACTATTGATCTCTCGTCAGTTCTGATTGATCGATATCTGAAATGCAAATACATGTAACCGATCTGTCTCCGGATGCTAGAGCAGTGACAGAAAAAGGGCTTTCAGAGAGCGTTAGTGACTGCGAAGTAGCATTATCCGTATACCAATCGTTTAGGTGAGACCGGGTGGAACGCCAGGATGAAGGTGTTACTATGTATGTAAGAATCAACTCAAATGTGTGGTGGAGAGAGGACGGAAAATATTAGCGATGGTATGGAGGCTATTTGGCTGACAAATAAGGTACGGGGGTTGCAGTCTTTGGGAGCCCTGCTCAGCTACTAACCGCCGCGTACAGGCACTGACGGAGATGCGTGTTTACTGAAGCCTATAATGGAAATCCGCAGTCGACCTGATGTTGTACTCGTACGTGACTTCAATGTCCTCAGCATTAGATGAAACGATTTGCGGCCGAATTTCTCTAAGAATGTCTTCGATGACCGTCTGCTAAAGACGATCCACTGAAGCTATTCTCACACAATATGTCCTCGTTCCAGCTATAGCGGGCTAGTTGTTTAGATCCCGTCTTAACCAAGTGCCCTGGCAGTATGCACGAGGTAAACTGTCCACCTCCACTTGATCGAAGTGATCACACAGTACTTTCATGGGAATACGGTCTATATTCGATGCCGTCTGCAAGAAACAGAACGAGGACGAATATACTGCTGGTCGCGTTAGAGCGCCAGGCCTCGAGGAATTCTCGCGCCTATTTGGTGTTGGCCATGGCAAGCACTTCATTTCCGTCCCAATTGAAGCGGTGGTAAAACTCAGGGGCGTGCTCGAACACGAGTGACAAAAGGTCACGTCGGCGGGTGGCTAACTGGTGTTCGCGGATGCCTGTCCCAAGCCGTCGGTCTGTATGATCAACGTACGTGCAAGAACAGGTAGCACGCGTAATGTGATAAATAACGTTAGTCTGCTGTCCTTTGGGTATGGGATCTTTCACTCGGGAAGTGCTGATCGCAATGACGACGCCGGTTTTGGGCAAAAGAGAAGTCAAAACGATTGGATTGACGGGCGATCGTTTCAGAAATGCCCTGCATGTAGGGAAGAGCGTAGAATTTCCGCGGTCCTGGTTCATCATTAGAGTCGGAGGTTTGCGGTTGTCTCTGGTGTCTCAGGCAGCTTTTCACAAAGCTGACCGGGTATCCGTTGGACTAGAATAACCGATATAAGTAAGCGAGCTCTTTTTTTAAGTAGGTCGTCGCTGCTGCAATAACGAAAGGCCTGATGGTGAAGTGTGCGAACACAGCTTCTTTTGTTAGCTGCTGGGTGGTTGCTTTCATAGTTGAGGATGATGTCAGCATTAGAGCCTTTTCGGTGGACGCTCATTGTGAGGCAGACATCACTTAGTTTTTTAGATCTTCAGGTCTGGGAACGAGAGGATACCTTTTGTTTCGTGAGTAAACTGGATAGAAGGGAGAACGCTATTTAAACTCTGATGCAGCTGCTCGACCTCGCAGGTCTTTATGATAACAAACGTATCATTTACATATCCGAGCTTTAAAACAACGCAACTCAAGCAATGCATTGACGAAAGAAAAAAAGTAGAAATTCTCTCGAAAACACGTTGGAATACATACTCGAAATTCGGGCTTTTCGGTAACATGCATACATTAAATTCCACGTAATATGGAAGCATAAATATCCGAAAATTTTACAAAAGGATTATTTTCTAACGTAATTTTACTTATGCTGCTTTATTCACTAGGTGGTTTTGCATGAACGGGCTTCGTCTACATGTAACACTTAAGTTCACCTATTACGCCCGATTTCCACTTTTTCGGAATTTGCTGTTTTTCTTTAAAAGCCTGGTATTTTGTATAAAAAAATTCATATTCCTTCATAAATCACAATATGCCCTATTATGAAGAACGACCATTACTTTATTGCTGTAAGAATTTGAGGACCGCAGCTTGAGCTGCGTTTGAGTAACATGGAGTTACTTGTAAAAATCCTTAGATTTCATGAGTTAGGTCACCTACTGTATAGCACTCTTTTACAAATCTGACCAACCACTACCATATGTCTTTGCCACCTATAGGTACACGAAATTGGTCTTTGGCATTTACGCAGATTAAATGAGGGTATTTCGGGAAAGCCAAAATTGCCGAAAATCAGGAAGCCACGGAAGACATAGGTAGATTAATTTCTCCTTAATTTAGTAAAATCGTGGCTTGAATATGGATGGTAACTAACGCACCCATATCAGAGGCCGAGCATCTCTCATCATTCTTACGTTTACCTGCGCACATTGTCAAATTCTTCTTTTGTATTTTTACGAAACTTATTTTGTGTAGACATTGCCTTCCTGGCGCTAACAAATATAAATTCCAAATGTGTTTTCTCTTATTTGCCTCTGATTAACGCTGCTTTAGGTGGCACTTACGTTTATAACACAGGTTCTCAATTTGTTTGAGACTCAGGTTATGTTATATAAGTCACGTCCACAGCCCCTCAGATACGTAGTTACAGTCCCCATCCGCTATTTTACGGTATAGTGGGCGACATAACCGCAGTCTGAGTAAAACCAAAATTAAAAACCCAAAGTCACCGCATTGTAGTAATTAAAAAAAACTATAATAAAAATAAATAATAGAAATAAAGTTGTAGAAAATATTCAACAGATGGCAAAAAAGGAATCTAGGGAACTCTAAGGAAGAAATTATAGTCGAAAGCTAATACAATTGGCCTTCTGTGCCTGTTTCTAAGCTGAATCTGTTCAAGACAAGAACCAATGTAAGTACTACGTTCAGAGACTGAGCATTCAGCACATTAGGGCCTTCCCGTGTGTTTATGAGGTGAAGATTCTCAATGACAACAACATAACCACAGTTGCAGACGACAAATTGTGTCTGCGTATCCCAAATTCCGC